CAGATAAAAATAAGCTTTGGGTAAATATAAAACCTATTTCTATCTAAACTACAGCAAATATATATATATATATAATTATCCAAATCTATAAACTATCCACTAAGAAAAAAGTAGTTGGACATAATTTTAAGCACAAAGCATCACAAGACCCGAAAATTACTCTTTAATGTCAAGGAGTAAATGTTAACTAATAAAAACCCTGAAGAATGACCTACAAATCTGGAGGATGCTTGTCGAATATCATATTTTTCCTTCCATGTGTAAGACCTCTTTGTTGAAAATACCTCCCAGAATTCATAAAATGGACCAACGACATCAGAATAATCACTGTGTGAATATCCAAAAGAGGGATACTGTTTCAAATTCTTCTTTGAAAAAACATTCTTCTTGTGCTGCTTTCGCACATTACGCTTGGTATTCGCGTTGGATGTTCCAAAAGATGATTTTTTAGCCTTTTCCATTTCATCACTCGAGTCAGTGTCTTCATGTGTATTGCCGCTTGCCTTAAGTTCCTCGTCGGCAAGCTCTTCGAAAATTTTTCTATAAACCGTGTAAAAGCCCTAGAAATACAAAAATTAGCCAATACAAAACAAATCACTGACAAGAAATAAAATGAAGTAATATACTAAAAATCCAATCAAACCATAGTATTGGTTCGACTTTGTAAAACCTATGTAGTCCCGTGTCCTATGTCATAGTATTCATGATTTCCAGCCTTAGACCATTGGCTAGGTACATTCCCAAATGTTTCGCCGGCATCGTCAGTGAGAGGCACCATCGTAAGTACAGAATTACAAGCTATAAGTGACAAGTGAAAGCAATCCCCTTGACCAATTTTCTCGGTACCTGCAAAACGTTCGGGAATGTTCTCAGCCAATGGTCCAATGCTGGAAATCGCGAATACTATATCAGACATGGGAGTAGTTACGTCTCACAAGATGTTCCTGACTCTCCGGCCGAGTTGCGCAAACAAGATCGAACCAACAATATAAAGCCAAAGGAGACTCGACCAAATGGAGGGCCAAACCATCTTAGTCTTCATATTTACAATTAAACTATAGCTTATCAACTAAAACCTGATAAAGTGTAAGGTAAAGAAGAGTTCCGATGAAGGTGTCTAATCAAATAAATAAGGCTTAGCAACAAGGGCTAGAAAGTAAGGATGTTTGGGTTCTTTATAGGAGTCGCTGAAGTGACTAACAAGCAAAGCTTATGACGCATAAACCTAATATGTGTATACGCCCTGAAATGCTTCAAAACAATGAGCAAAATAACATAGAAAATAGGTTATGTTTAGCACAGAAGAAAATATTGAGAAAATTACAATTACTACGTACATACAGAAACAGACGAAATAATAAAATATTATTCCGAACCTACTTTTGGACCATTATCAAATCCAGAATAGCAGGACTTAGAGAAATACGCAAATATATCAACGCACTTTTCCTCATACTTTTCTGAACCTGTTCCATGGCCCAACAAAATCTGATCTCGATGAAGGTCGTACCATTGTCTCTCACGAGGATCAGACAAAACTCTAGGCACGTAAAAAAATTGAAAAATATTTGAGTAACAAAATACCCAAACAAAAACGGAATACATATTTCTACCTATATGCCTCTTGGATGGCTTGAAAGGCAGAAGTGGCCTCCTCCAATTTATCAGGATTTTTGTCGGGATGCCATTTCAAGGAAATTTTGTAATAAGCCTTTTTGATGTCCTCAAAAGGAACACCCCGGCTGACGTCTAGAGAGGAATATTACAAACATCTCTACCCAAAGTGTCGTAATGGCACCTCATGCTGAACAGCTAGGGGAAGGTAGTGCGCGCTAGAGGTAAAGTAACTAAACAATTATACAAGGGAAGTAGTTCATCATCATTTGCATTGCTATTTAAATACGTTCACAGATTAATAAGTCTTACATTATTTGCTCTTGGTGAAAGCAATTGCTTAAACCGATGTCAAAAATACAGCGTGTTGAATGCGTGTGAGAAATTTTTTGTTGCAGTAGAGCCTTAAAACAAAACATGCTTTTATATTTTATACAGCAATCTCTGCTAGAAAAAAATTAATTTACTATATTTGCGCTTAAATGGACAAAGTTATTGTTGAATTTTCTAAAAGATTATGAATAACTTATAGGAATATACCGCCTTTACTCCTTTGATTAATAAGTGGGTATCACAATTGGGCATAAAAGCAATATAAAATGTATGATAATTGATCAAACAAACTTAATATAAGTAGTTTC